GGGGGGGGGGGGGAGATGATCAGTGGACGTTCTGACATTAAAATGAAGCGGAAGATGGAATATCTCAATCCTGAATAACCACAACCGTCACTAGCACCACCCACAGACTGCATGACCAGAACACTTGTTAGACGCTTTTATCCAAAGCGACTTACATACTCAATACTGTGGGCAATCCCCACAGGAGCAACTTAGGGTGAAGTGTCTTGCCCAGAGACACAACGACATGCTGACTGCAGTGGGGTTTGAACCTGTGGCCCCCTGATCCAAACTGGTAACGCACTACCCCACTGCGCCACACGCCTCCCCTATGCACCAAAGATATAATGATGTTCTCCCTCAGTAACACGAGTACGATGGCCATTGTAAGTTAAACAAATACACACATTATTGTGTCAGGGGACAGGAGTCATATTCTGAGAAAAAGCTCAAGAGATTGACAGAAAACAATCAGGGAAAATAAGAGGACATTTCTCTGAAAATAAAATGGTAAATTTAATTCAGGAGAGCATTTTAATAAATGTATTAAAAATATATATATTCTGGGCCTTTATGCGGAGGACTAGGGTTCCAATCCAGTCTGGGACTATTTGATGCGTGTCACCCCCTCTGTCTCCCCTTTAGAACTCTTCAAGGCACTTGTCGCCCAAAAGATATTGTAAAAAACAAAACAAAAATTATTTGAGAAAAATCTGTGTATATACAGTAGTGCATATTTTGGTTGTCAAGGGACCAGATGGCTTCACTTCAGCAATATGAACATGGGGATATCTTTCCTCCTTTAAGTCAGTTTGTGGTTTTCTTATAAATCGACCGATTTACATCAATTTGTCTTCAAAGTCTGGATGTTTACAATAATATGGTGATCCTTACGGTGGCCGACAGGTGCAAACGCACTACAACAGCCCAAATGACTTCCATCAGCAGAAACGCGCTGCAGCTTCAGAAACTATGCAAATATAAAAACAAAAATGTGTTTTTGTATGAGCAGTGTGTTTTCACATATTTCTGTTTTTATATTTGGATCGTTTCCGAAGCTGCAGAGCATTTCTGCTGATGGAAGTGTTTTGGGTTTTTGGGCGGTTGACCGTAGTCAGCCACCGTAGATTCTGGACAAAAAAACACAACTTTTTTCCCTCATTGCTTAATCTGATTGCAAAGTGTTCGATAACGTCATCCACTGTAGGATGATTTTTACGTCATGTGGTTCCTTTAGAAAAAAATAATCACAACTTATTCAGATTTTATCTAGTAAAATAACTAGATAATTATTAATCACAGTTTTTCCTCGGATATGACCCTCGTTCCATGGCTTCTTAATTGTTTGTTTTCTTCCCACAATGGCCCTAATGCACTCGTAACCAAGCTTAAGGATGATTGCAAGAAAGCCCATTAAACCCTTCACCATAAAGTTCAGAGTCCATCCAACTTCTCCCATCTCAACTCCAAGCTGCTGTGCACCGTCTAATAAGCTCTCACATCTGGAGAGAAGTGTCCAGGTCGATATCTCAAAAAGGAGGAGCTCACTGAACGCTGAACATGCAAGATTTATTCTCCAGCAGCAGGAACATTCATAGAAAATTGATGGGAGACGAAAGCCTGCTTCGATGTAACAGACCCAAAAAAGAAAGATGAAAAGAAATGTTCGCTGGGAAAGAGTTAACGACACACCAGAGATGAAGAAGAGACGAGGATGAAGACGGGGTCTGAAATGAACAGCTGCCAAGTGTCAAGTTCTGGTAAATGTTACCTTTGATGGAGAAATCAATAAGAGTAACCTGCCAGAACGGCTTTAGTTTTAGATAGGACTTGAATTTTTAAGGTACATACAGTCTTTGGTCTGTTGAAGCTGCTTCCCGATTGGTTGGCTGCCAGGCTGCCAGGCTGTCTGCTGTATAATGGTCTGCCTCTCCTCTGTCTGGTAGGTTCATTAGCCCCCTGGTAGCTTAAAGCGATGATTCACATTGTTTGAAGAATGCTTGTATTAGATCCATCAACCGTGTGTTAGCTACAGGAGATGGTCAGCAGTTTGGAGAAATGGACTGAAGGTACAGCATGGAAACCAAGCAGAGAGTGATGCCTACAGTTAATCTGTTTTTTTTGTTGGGCTTTCTTTTTAGGTTAGTTCTGCTGCTGCTACCATAGACAAAAGTTCGGCTTAGCTTATTGCTTAGCTCCAATACTTGTCCTCCTGTCATTTACTAAGAGAAATACAATGCCAATAGACAAGTCCCAAAAACAAACCCCAACCATCCCTTCAAACTCAACCTAGATTAATGTAAAGTAAACAATAGGGGAGCTCTTTGAGTGAGTTAAATAACTTCACTTTACTCTACAGAGAAATCCAGTTAATTTCAGACCTTGTTTGAGACGTATGTTTAAATCCCGCTGAACAAAAAGAAGAAAAGCAGAAGAAATAAGGACTCCTGGACGCAGAGATCCATCTACCTGCGCAGTTTCCATCTATGGAGTTCTGTCTGGAGGTCAGGGGCTCTGTGGTGCATGAGCGCAGGAGGAGACAATACACACACGGATAGACATGAAGGAACTGCAGACACGGATAAATCGGGTTTCCAACCTAGTGACTGCATTTCTCTGGTTAAACAACACTAAAACACACTGATGTCACACACACACACACACCCCCACACACACACACACACACACACCCCCACACACACACACACCCCCCCACACACGCACACACACTCACACACACACACACACACACACACACACTGTCACACACAGCCCCCCACACAGGC